TTTGAGATGGAGTCTTGCTCTGTTGCCCAGGCTGGAATGCAGTGGTGCCATTTCTGTTCACTGCAGCCTTCGCCTCCCAGGGTCAAGCAATTCTCCTGCCTCAGCCTCCTGAATAGTTGGCACTACAGGCGTGCACCACCATGCCCAGCTAATTTTGTATTTTTAATAGAGACGAGGTTTTATCATGTTGGTCAGGCTAGTCTCAAACTCCTGATCTCAAGTGATCCACCTACCTTGGCCTCCCAAAGTGCTGGGATTACAGGCGTGAGGCACTGTGCCGGGCCCGTAATACATTTTTCTATCACTTTTTTGCCAATCTTTTATATTTTCTGCTTTTTAATGTTAAATGTTACTCATTTCTACTTGTGCTTTTGTTTTCAACCTTTCCTTTGGGGCAATTTAAAAAAAATGTGATGCATTTTAGCCTGCTGCCTGTATGGAAGAATATCTTAGTATATTTATTAGAGTGATTATAGACTTGACCTGTGCTGCACATTTGGTATCTAATGTAGTTTAGAGTCATGACGCCACCTCAAAAAGGGTAGAGGAGAACAATCAGATTCTGACTGGGTAACCAAGGAGCTGTCTTCGCAATTGATTTGGAGTATATTCCTTAGTTTATTTAAAATTGCTGAGCATGTTGGCTCACGGTAATCCCAACACTTAGGGAGGCCGAGCTGGGCAGATCACTTGAGGTCAGGAGTTCGAGACCAGCCTGGCCAACATGGTGATACCCCGTCTCTACTAAAAATACAATTAGCTAGGCGTAGTGGCCTGCACCTGTAATCACAGCTACTTGGAAGGCTGAGGCAGAGAATCGCTTGAACCTGCGCAACGAGCCAAGATCTCTCCACTGCACTCCAGCCTGGGTGACAGAGTGAGATTCCATCTCAAAAAAAAAAAAAAAAAAAGGAAAAAATATTGCCTCTCCCACAATTTAGTAATTGAGTATATTTGTTATGTGTTTCATAGATAAGCCCAGTTTGAAAACACTTACTTTATATATGACTTTATGATTTAACTAACCTAAAATGTACTGGGCTTAAGGAAATCCAAGAATGATTGGATGATGAATCCAAGACTGATTAGGAATCCAAGATGACTTCTTAGCTGTTATTTCATTTTGAATGAAATGGATATATATGAAAACTAACTTATTTTGAAAACACAATTTACGGCCGGGAACAGTGGCTCACACCTGTAATCCCAGCACTTTGGGAGGCTGAGGTGGGTGGATCATGAGGTCAGGAGTTCGGGACCAGCCTGGCCAACATGGTAATACCCCGTCTCTACTAAAAATACAAAAATTACCTGGGCGTGGTGGTGGGTGCCTATAATCCCAGCTACTTGGGAGGCAGAGGCAAGAGAATCACTTGAGCCCCCGGGGGAGGCAGAAGTTACAGTGAGCCAAGATCATGCCACTGCACTCCAGCCTGGGCGACAACAAGTTTCCATCTCAAAAAAAAACAAAAAAACAAAAAAAACTTTTTTTTTTTGAGACGGGGTCTCGCTCTGTCATCCAGGCTAGAGTGTAGTGGTGCCATCTCGACTCACTGCAGCCTCCACCTCCCAGGTTCAAGCAGTTCTCCCCTTCAGCCTCTCAAGTAACTGGAATTACAGGGCCACTCCACCAAGACTGACTAATTTTTGCGTTTTTAGTAGAGTTGGGGTTTCACCATGTTGACCAGGATGGTCTCGAACTTCTGACCTCAGGTGATCCACCGCCTCGGCCTCCCAAAGTGCTGGGATTATGGGGGTGAGCCACCATGCCTGGCCAGGAATTCTTATTTTTAAAAAATAATTTTATTTATAAATTTTACTCTTACTATATTATCTCAGCATAGTAATGGAAATGAGGTATGTTCATTATTAACAAAATTACTTCTTTTATTCTATAGTCTAATGTATATCATCATTAATTCAGTAACTGAAAATAATATCTTAAGTTCTAAATGGAATGATTTTTCCTCTTTACTATCAGAAGTTTCCTAGGCTTGTTTATTTGTTAAATAATAAGCTGTTAGGGAATTTGTCATTCTCTTTTCTGAGATAGTACTTTTGATACAAGACTGCTTGAGTACATAAATGAAAGTGTTAAATGTTAGTAAAAACAATAATAAAAAAAAAATCAGAAGTTCTTTAAGTAATTTGCATCCGGAACAAAATGAAGACATTTTACATTTTCCTATTAATATAGTTCTCCAGGATAGTTCCTTAGATCCATAGTACCCCTTAATTCTGTTTTTTTTCTTAGCATGGTACATCTTCTTTCATCTCTTCACTTTTAAACTATATGTGTGTAGGGAAATACCCCTTAATTCTAAATTGTAGATTAGGAAATTTTTCATATTTTCCTTTTAGAAGAATTGAAATCAAATTCTGCCACACCTGCCAAGCCTGATTGAACTTTCATTCTTTGTACATCGTTATTCAGCCTTCATCTGTAGTCCAGGATACTTATTACTTTCGTGTATCTTAATTTTTTCTGTACCTCCTGATTATCAAAGATATTGGTGGCCCTAACTGGAATAATTTAAGGAAAGTTGATCCCTAAACAGTTACTTATTCAATGTACTATACAAGGACCTTACTTTACCTCTCTCTGATAAGCCTCATAACACCTGTATCATAAAACGACCTAGGGGTCTATTGATAATGTATATAAAGTACTAGTGTGGGCTAACTGAACCTAGCAGATAATCAACCAGTCAACAGGAGGCAACTGCTGCTTTTATTTTCCAATAATGTCTGGGAAAAAAGCCAATACATGCCTTCTGCTGAAAGCACTTGTTTATGTCCTGATTATGGTCACCACTGTTCTTCCCAGAGTCTTTACTCCTGGACAGTAAACAATGCCAGCAGAAACTTAAAGTGACCATTTTTCTTCTCTCTAAAGAAAAATTCAATATTGACTACATTTGTTAAAATATGACATTTACGTTAAGTTTATAAGGCAGATATTCTTGGGGGAAAGTGTTTTTATTTTTATTTTTTTTAAGAAATCTCTTATGGCCTTGGCTAATTTTTGAAATCTTGTATCTTAGGAAAATCTTTATTCTTTGTCATGATTAAGGGGTGGTTTAACTGGATTAATTTTTTTCCTTAGAAAATCTCCTAAAATGTTAAAGATACTTAAACCCTTTTGGCTTCTAGCTTCCATTGGTTCTGTTGAGAAGGGGTTTTTTGGACCATTTGAGTCTCTCTTTTTTTTTTTTTTTTGAGACAGAGTTTTTTGCTCTGTCACCCAGGCTGGAGTGCAGTGGCATGGTCTCATCTCACTGCAACCTCCGCCTCCCGGGTTCAAGTGATTATCCTGCCTCAGCTTCCAGAGTAGCTGGGATTACAGGTGTGCACCACCACACCCAGCTAATTTTTGTATTTTTAGTAGGGACAAGGTTTCGCCACATTGCCTAGGCTGGTCTCAAACTCCTGGCCTCAAGTGATATACTCACCTCAGCCTCCCAAAGTGCTGGGATTACAGGTGCAAGCTACCATGCCTGGCCTGACCACTTGTGTCTTGATCTTTAATTGGTTACCTGTTTTGTCACTCAGTAACCTTTAAACCTTTATTCCTGTTGTTTTAAACAATTTACCAGATACCTTTTGGCCTCCAGTGGCTGTTTGGAAATGTTTGGGGACAGTTTTGATAGTCAGAGTGCCTGGGGATGCTAGGGGCATTTTGTATCTGTAGGCCAAAGAAGTTAATTTTCTTGCAGTTAATTTCCTTACATCTTTGGAAACAATCTCACCCAAGATATCAGTAGAGGCTCTCTTTGGAAATGTTGTGACCCTGGGGAAATATAAGAATAATTACAGCTGCGTGTTGATTATGATATATGACAACAGAAACAAGACATATGCACCAAAGATCAATGAATATATTTGGTTATAATGTTATAGACATGCAATGTGAAATGATGGAGGAAGAAAGTATAAATTACACTGTACAAATTGAATCAATAAAAATCACTGTGAAATTCAGCCATTAAAATTTTTCTATATATGTTTATCATGTCACTGCTTGTACATTATATGCACTATTATGCTTAGTAATGTTTTGACACCTTTTCAGTATTTCCACTTTTGACACTTTTTTCTGTATTTCCAAATAATACCTACTCTTACTTAATTACTTTAACAGATCTAGAAAATTAACTCTTACTCTTTTTTAGTAGTAGGATATCTGTTTGTAACATAAACACTTAGCAATTCCAGATCCAGAAGGATTTGAAAAGGAACATGTTTGCAAAGGCTAGAACATGATTGATAATAGCTCTATATTTCTAAATTAGAGTGGCATTCAGAAAGAGATGAACAGGGTTGTACTTGTGCAGTTTCATAGTAGTTTTTGAGTTGGCAATTTGTAGTTCTATTTCATTAATTTTGTTTGTTTGTTTGTTTTTGTGACTGAGTCTCTCTATGTTACTCAGGCTGGAGTGCAGTGCGGGATCTTGGCTTATTGCAACCTCTGCCTACTGGGTTCAAGTGATTGTCCTGCCTCAGCCTCCTGAGTAGCTGGAACTACAGGTGCATGCCACCACACCTGGCTAATTTTTTAGTAGAGTCATGGTTTCACCAAGTTGACCAGGATGGTCTCAGTCTCCTGACCTCTGGTGATCCGCCCACCTCGGCCTCCCAAAGTTCTGGGATTACAGGCGTGAGCCACCACACCCGACCTCATTAATGTTTTAGGAAATTATTTACCAGAATAGCATATGTAGGCAGCTGTATTATAAGAATTTGGATTATCCATCACTTTTCTGTGGTCCATTTTACTGCTTTACTTTATTAATATTGCTGACTAAGAAAACTGTACATTAAAAATACAGGACTCCAAGGAGGCAGAGAAGGAGTAAGATAATAAGGAAGGAAAATTGACAAAGATTTTAAAATAGTAGTGTGATAATTTTGTATTAACAGAATAATTTGAAGCATTTAAAAATAATTATTAATGCAGAGTCTTCATGTTAATGTGCATATGGTATACTTTTACCTTTCAGAACCTAAATCACAGCCACAGCAGCTTCATCAGGGACAATACAGATCATCAAATACTGAGCAAAATGGAATAAAAGATATTAATCAACTGAGATTTCTTCCTCGAAATGATACCAGGCAGCCAAGAAATGAAAAACCACCTCGTTTTCAAAGAGACTCCCAAAATTCAAAGTCAGTTTTAGAAGGCAGTGGATTACCTAGAAATAGAGATTCTGAACGACCAGGTACTTCTTCAGCATCTGAAGTATGGGCCGAAGACAGAATCAAATGTGATAGACCATATTCTAGATATGACAGAACTAAAGATACTTCGTATCCTTTACGTTCTCAGCATAGTGATGGTGCTTTTAAAAAAAGAGATAACTCTATGCAAAGCAGATCAGGAAAAGGTCCCTCCTATGCAGATGCAAAAGAAAATCCACGTCCTCAAGAATCTATAGATTATAATAATCAAAAACGTGGAAAAAGAGAAAACCAAACATCTAATCCTGATCATTTTTATGACAGGAAATCACGAACAATAAATAATGAAGCTTTCAGTGGTCAAAAAATTGAAAAACATTTTAATGTAAATACTGATTATCAGAATCCAGTTCGAAGTAATAGTTTCATCGGTGTTCCAAATGGAGAGGTAGAAATGCCGCTGAAAGGAAGACGAATAGGACCTATTAAGCCAGCAGGACCTATCACAGCTATATCCTATGATGATAAAATGTTTTATAATAGTGGTCCCAAAAGAAGATCTGGGCCAATTAAGCCAGAAAAAATACTAGAATCATCTATTCCTATGGAGTATGCAAAAATGTGGAAACCTGGAGATGAATGTTTTGCACTTTATTGGGAAGACAACAAGGTATGGATACTTTAAAGATATTATACACTAATATTACTAAATGTAACATTCTAGTGGGACTTTATAGAAGCCATCACTTTGGAACTATGAGGTTTTTTTCTACAATTATACTTATTTAAAATCTTCGGACAGATTTATAGCTATATAAAGGATAAACAAAATATTTAATATTTTTATGGATGCTTAGGGACAATCTGTTCCATAACATTTGGTTAAGTGAGGTATGGTTTTAGTTTACATGCCAGAAAACTATTGTAAAAGTAATTATGTGAAGTTGAACTTTATTTTACTTATCATCAGCTTAATTATGCATGTTTGCTTTTCACTCTAGTAAAATTACACTGATTCACATGGAAGAAAATCAGTTGAGTGGCACAAAATGAAATTTTGCAGATTTTCAATTAAAAAAAATTAGACATTCAGCCTACTTTAAAAAAAGTTAATATATAAGTTAATTATTTATCTTATAATAATTTAAAAATTATTAAACCATTAAATATCAAGTGTAAAAATTATTAAACCAATCTTTAGTTCTATATTATGTGCTGGCTAAAAGGGAAAGAGAAAAATTGTAGGGGAAAGAAGGAAGGAAAGATACAAGATGAGGATTTGAGTAAGAGCCTGGCCGAGAGATAGAAGACCAGCACAGTGAGAACAGGAAAGGGAAAAGGACAGAGGGTACATCACAGAGAACGGGCCTTTGCACACTTTTTCCCTTCCGTACAATGTGCTCTTCTGTCAGCTACTCTTCTCATCCTCGAGGGCTTGGCTCAAACATCACCTCCTAGAAGAAGCCTTCGTTGACCTGCCCCATCTTCCTACGTACATTATTCTCTTAATCAATGCCTTAACTTTTTAAAATTTGTCACAATTTTTAAATATTTTTGGGTTTGGTTCTTGAATTGGTATCTGTTTGCACTACCATGATATTAAGTTCTTTGAAGTCTGTACTGTGTCTGGTTTTCCTCTGTAGTCTTGCTCCTTTTACAGTATATGGATTTCATAATTATTTGTTAACTCTGTTAATTAGCTAATTCTGGAGGGGGCACTTATATATGAGAAAAAAGGATGGCGAGGGGATGGAGGTAATAGCAAGGTAATTAAACCATATGTAAGGGAGTTATAGAGTGAATGTCGGGGTGGATGTGAGAAGCAACTCAAAGAGGAAAAATATTCAAAATAAGTATTTTATAGGTTGCAGTTGATATGGTAAGGATATGCCTATAAGAGTGTGTAGCTAAAGGGAATAATGTAAGTAAAAGTAACTGAAGATTTCAAGGAACTGAAATTCATACTAGGGATTTGGGTGGATCCTTTCATAAGGATGCAATGGAATATGGGGTCATGAACCAGGCCTTCTTGTGTTCATTAAATAATGAGGTATAGGCAGAGTATTAGGTGTTGCCTGATGATAGAACAAAGGAGGATACAGCTAGATGGCATATATTTTTAAGGTTTTTGTGTGACTAGAATGATAATTATTTAGAAACAGCATCTCTGTCACATCTTTACTTAAAGCTGGAAGGAAGGGAGGAGACAGGACTGTGTGTCTTGTCTTTTTCTCTGGAAAAGCAAAAGCCTTCCCAGGAATACCAGCAGATTTGGAACTATTTCACATAGCCATTCTCTGGCTATTAGGAAGGTTGAAAAGCAGATGTAGGTGGTCTTCACTAACCAGATTCTTATTCTTCCAACTCAGACCACTTACTTTCTGAAATTCAGGAACTATTTGATTTGAGTAGTAGGAGATTCATTATTTAGCTATTTGTCTTTCATGATGGAAGCAAGAAAAAGTAAAGTAGTTGGAAATCAGTGTTTATTGAGCCAATAGTAGCTGCCTTAGAAAGAACAGTCACTGTGTCAGATGCTTCTGTGAAAGGTTAAGATGAGGACGGAAAAATGTTTTCTATCTTAGATAACGTGGGGTTATTGGTGACCTTGACAAGAATAGAAGTAAGAGATTGGGATTCACATTCAAAATGTTTGAAAGGCTTGTTAAGTGACTCAGGCTTTCCATTGAAATCATACAAGGATCATGCCCTGAGTAGTAAGTGCAAAATTAAAACAGACAACCCTTACAAAGTCAAAAGCAACTCTCTGCAGGATCAGGGATATCTTCTTATATTCTCTCTGCCAGTTGAAAATACAATTCTGTTACTGGGAAAAATGACATCTTCTAGAACCTTTCCAGTATTTCATCTGCACAGTGTTTATTAGCATCCTACAAAAAGGTATGAGCCATGGTAAATAAAACAGAATGAATCAATGAATATGAATGATTATCAAAAATAAAATAGAGTAGGCCTACAGATAATTGGATTGAGCAGAGTTCTTTAACAAATATTAATTGAGTATTCAACAAATCATAATTGAGTAGCTGCTAGGTGCTAGGTAATTGAGGTATATTAGATAGTTATGGCTATGCTATACCAAAAGGCCTCCAAATACCTGATATGATTATTAAAGGTCTAATGTTAATTGTAATTGTCTAAAAACATCAATAATACTGTGTATCAGTAATGGCTGTGGTCAAAAAATAAATTTAAAAAATCAAAATAGTAAAGATACTGCCTTTGCTGAATAAGTTCAAAATGTCATGTACCATCCAAAAAACAGCATCTAACAATTCAGTGCCCAACAAAACAGTACCCAACATGTGTTGAGTGATTAGAATATTCTTAGAGTAACTAAATGATCTTCTAAGGTGGCTACTTTGATTCAAATTAGATGTGTACTTTCAGTTGTGGTAAGGAACTATGGACTCCAACTAGGTTACACCACCCTTAAGCATTGGGAAAATGGAATTAATTATCTTCTGAAATCACTAATTGAAGAGGTAGCTTTTAAATGTCTTGTCAAGAATGGACAACTTTCCAGTTTTTTTTTTTTTTGTTTTTTTAAGGCAGAGACCAGGGTAGAGATTTAAGAAAAGGAATTGACTTAACTATCATTACGATACCATAATCTTCTTAATTGCATTGTAATGATATTTTGGAGATAATCAATTAGTATATATATTGTTTAAAAAATTTCCTCACAATATCTTGCCTTCTTTCTAACTTCATTTCTGTAGGAGAATTTGGGAATTTCAGAGAAGTTCTTCTTCCTCTAAACTGCTAAACTAGTTCAGCTATTTTTCTCCTCAACTGGAATATTACAACCTCCATATTGGTTTCCTTGCCTAAACTTTATTCCTTTTAAATTTGTTATCAGTATTTCCGTCACTGTGATCCTGGTCTTAGACCATGCCATATTTTCTAGTTAAAGTCTTTCACTTATAGAATAAATACAGATTTTAGCATTTTTATTGTGTTTATGTACCAATAAACCCATCATAAGTTGAAAATACTGTAAGTCAAAAATAAACATATCTTAGTCATGCTAAGTTATAGCATGATTCAGTGTTGTTTAATTTACCTGAACCAGCATAATTTGACTCAGAACAATTAATAGAACACAAAAGTGTGAGGCTAAGAAAAGAAGAGGGGAGAGATAGAAAGGTATAACAAGAACTCTAAGATGAAGAAAATTGCAGCATCTCTAAACTTGCTAACATTCAGACCTGGAAAGGCAATGCCATGGATTCACTTAATACCTTTGTAAAATTAAATATGCTAGTTAAAAACCAACTCTTTTGAGAGTAACTCATTCTTTAGAAGGTTGTGAAAAATATGAATTTTTGTTGCCTTTAGCATTTTCTAACTCCGGTGAACCTCTTAAGAGATACTATTATTGGCTGGGTGCAGAGGCTCACATCTGTAATCCCAGCACTTTAGAAGGCAGAGGCAGGCGGATCACCTGAGGTCAGGAGTTCGAGAGCAGTCTAGCCAACATGGTAAAACCTTGTCTTTACCAAAAATACAAAAATTAGCCGGGTGTGGTAGCACGCACCTGTAATCCCAGCTACTTGGGAGGCTGAGGCAGGAGACTCATTGGAACCCAGGAGGCAGAGGTTGCAGTGAGCTGAGATTGTATCACTGCACTCCAATCTGGGCGTCAGAGCAAGACTTCTTTAAAAAAAAAAGAGAGAGAGAGATACAATTAGAGTAGATAGTGTTATACTATAGTAAAGCATTCTAGTACCCTGGCTTGAAGAAAACATTCTTTAAGAACAATTTGGTTTTTGTTTCCATTTCACATTTACTAAGCAACATTCAGACCTATCATGTGGCTCCTGAATGGGATGATCTGTATTGAAGGATTACTCCAATCAGATGACTTATTCCCAGTTAATTTAACAAATAAATTTTAAAATTGTGGTTATAGGCCAGACACAGTGGCTCATGCCTCTAATTCTAGCACTTTGGGAGGCCGAGTAGAGAGGGTCACTTGAGGCCAAGAGTTTGAGACCAGCTTGGGCAACCTAGCAAGACCCTGTCTTTATGAAAAATTTTAAAAATTAGCCAGACATGGTTTTGTGCACCTATAATCCCAGCTAATTGGGAGGCTGCAGCAAGAGGACAGCTTGAGCCCAGGAGTTTGAGGTTACAGTGAGCTATGATAACACCACTGTATTCCAGCCTGGGCAACAGAGGAAGAACTTGTCTCTAGAAATAAATGTAAATAAATAAGTAGATAAAATTATAGTTATAAAGTGAATCAGTTCCTTGTGAGTTTGTTAATATGCATCAGTTATTAGAGCCCATAACACTAAGTAACTTAATAAGTTTCTGGACTTGCAATGTCTTTAATCTTACAAATAATGGATCTAAGTGACTTAGATCCATTATTTGTAAAATTAACTTCTTACCTGACATCCAGCCACTTGTGATGACTTCATTCCAGCCACTTGTGTTGACTAAATCAACGAGCCTTCTTTTTCGCCATTTTTTAGTCATGTATTTCTGTTTTTGAACAAATTATAGTTATATATTCTGATTAGTATATAAGAATTGTTGGCCAGGTGCAGTGACCCATACCTTTTATCCCAGTACTGTGGGAGGCCAAGGCAGGCGGATCACTTGAGCTCAGAAGTTTGAGATCAGGCTAGGCAACATGATGAAACCCCCATCTCTACAAAAAATACCAAAAAATTAGCCAGGTGTGGTGGCTGTCGCCTGTAGTCACAGCTCCTCAGGAGGTTGAAATGGGAGGATCACTTGGGCTGGAGAGGTGGAAGTTGCAGTGAGCCGAGGTCTTGCCACTGCACAACAGCCTGGGCAACAGAGCAAGACCCTGTCTCAAAAAGAAATAAAAAATGTCTTACTAATGTTAGTCAAAGTGTTCCAAAGGTAAGTTTTCCTTTGAAGAATATTACATATTGGAACACTTTAAGAATTTATATTTCCCTTAAATATTGCCTTTTATAGACAATACCAACTGTCATATTTCAAACTTCTTTTGCCTCCTCAGTTTTACAGGGCAGAAGTTGAAGCTCTTCATTCTTCAGGTATGACAGCAGTTGTTAAATTCATTGACTACGGAAACTATGAAGAGGTGCTACTGAGCAATATCAAGCCCATTCAGACAGAGGCATGGGTACGTGATACATATTCTGTACAAAGGCATAAGTTATTTTGAAGAAAATATATAGCTCTAAAGAATTAGTCATAGCCATACAAAATTTGCAAGTAGAATAATATTTTGAATTTACTTATAACTGGCTAATCCTAAAGTAAGATTTTAGTTTAATGCCTACACTGAACCATAATAAAAATGAATGCATTGGAATTACTTTTCCTGTATAATGCTTTGTTGTATTATGCTTTGGAAATAGGTGCCCTCATTTACATGTTTGCCAAAAATATGTACATGTGAAATGGGTTTTTATACATATTTTGTTTCTTTCAAATTTGCTACTTTGAATTTTACTAAATTATGTCCAGCAGCTGTCAAATTCAAATCTCTGTTGGATATGCATATATCATTTTAGTTACAGGTAAAATTAAGAAAAAAAATTTAAGTTCTACATGATTTTACTGCATATATATTGACGTATATATGTACAGATTAACTGTAAATTATCTATTTGCTAGTTATTGGATTAGTTTTGTTGCCAAGTATTATATCAAAGCTATGTGATAACTTTGATGATGTAACTTAGAACTTACTGGCCTCATGGAGTCCATTTTATAAAGAATGTATGTGATTTTATATAGATTGATTCTTACATTTAGGCAAAAACAGAAATACAAGACATATTAAAATTAGCTCTGTGAAGTTTTTGTTAGTTCTTTCATTTCTTTAATTTGTGAGTAGCTGTTAATAAATTTATCATTATAAGCCAATATCAACAAATATGTTGATATTTTCCTAAAATAGCAAAATATTCTAGAAAATTATCATCCAGACAGTAGGCTTCATCATTGAAGGATACATTGTTTTCTCATGAGCTGCTTTTAGTTTTGGTCTTCTAAAATTTTTCTGTCATATCTTCAGTGGTACCCTTTCTCCACCTTCCAAAAAGAGAAATAAAACAGCAAGAAAAAAAAACAAATAGCAGTAATAATGTTTTGGGCCATGGATCTTTATTTTTTTGCCTTTTTGTTCTAGAGAAATTATTATTTTCTAGATAATTTATTATTTCATATTTTACAACATAAGATTACTAATGGCTCTTCTGTTTAATTAAGAGATCTTTCCTTAACTCTTATTCTCTAAACCTTAATTACTTTTTGCCTAAAAATCTCAAATCATCGATATCTAATTTACATCTTTCTTTTCTTGGAGAAACTTGATGCAACTATATTTTTACTCTTTTGGTTCTCAGATGATGGCTATTTTTATTCTGTCTTTTCTATTAATACACACATTTTAATCTACTTTTGATAACAAAAGTAATCATTTATTGAAGCTGTATTTCTGGAATTTGAGTCCTGGTTTGCTATTTATTATGTTCCCAGTTGGTTTTAGCCATAGCAGTCAAAGATTCAAAATACAATTCTTATGTTATTTACTTCCTACATTTTAGAAAATTTAATAAGAGGTTAATTTTATTCTTCTCTCCCTAAAGAAAAATTTAGTTTTCTTACGTGGTTTCTTCTCTCCTTCCTTTTGCTGTTTCAGGGTGGCCATAGCTGAGGAGCACCTTTCCTTTTCCTCACTGTAGCTTTTCTATTCAGAGGTGTTTGGTCATGAAGTGATCATTTTCTTTCTACAGTCAGTAGAAAATCTTTTTCTATTTCTCCCTTAATAGTCCTCATGACTTTATTCTTGATTTTAGGTTTGTATAAGCTTAGCTGGACAATAAATTTATCAGGTGTTGCAGCTAATTTAAGGATTCTGTTCTAAACTATAGCAATACTTTCATATTCTTCCTAGTTATTTGTGAATATTTATGCTTTATTGTGTCATTTTTTAAATTGTGTCATTTTTTAACCTATTTTCCTTTTCTGCAGTCAATTTAAAAATCTTTTATAAAATACTTGAAATATTTTACAGAAAGAAGCAGAATAGAATCACTAAATCTTTTGCAGATTCTGATATTTCTTTTCTCCTACTTTTATAATCAAGTGATTGTTGATGTTTATGAATTTGCATAAATTACTATAGCAAACATTTCTGAATCATGCACATCATGATCAGCCTTTCTTCCTTATCTGCATAAATAATTAACTTAGTTGAGAGGACTATCTCCTTGAAATATAGAGGCCACCAGCTTAACATATCTTGACCTATTTCCATTTAAAAAAATATTTATGTGCATATAGACTTAAAAAAACCCTGAAGAAATATAGTCTGTGTTGTCGTCAGTACATATAATGTAGAGTTAGTGTAGAATTCTCTTAGCCTCTGATAGTATTGAAAGTATTAATGTTGGAGTCTTAGAGTGCTGTTTTAAAATTTTGGTAACTGGAAACTGTAACAAGTTTTAGGTTAATCAAAAATGTACAAAATTATCAAAAAACAAAACATTCACTGTACCAATAAGAAGCTAACTGTAATTGATAAGTCATACTAGAAAAAATAAAGGGCTACAAAGCTGCGGGGAAGTGGTTAGAGGCCTTAGCACAATTACACTATGGATTGTGGAATTTTTAATTTTTTAACTTGTGCACTATATATGCACACTACATTTTTTTAATTGTGAAATGATATTGTATCTTTTATTAAGATTTATGTTTGTTATTGCCACAAGATTTTGGAAAACTTGTTTTCCTAGATATAGCAGTGAACATTTAGTGAAGATTTTTTTAAACTAGGTTGCAGAAAAACAGTCAAAACACCCTGCATATAAGCCAAAAGCCTTTGCCGAAAATTAGTTGCTTGTATTGTCTTTTAAAAGTATAAGCATAAATCATTAAATAAAAAGCATGATATATTAAGTGACTCACTAAGTTAATAGCTTGTATGAAAAATTAAAATAAAAATCAAGTTAATACTTCAAGTGTTAATGTTTTTCTCATGAAATTTGGAAATTATTTGCCTTAAATTTGTCAGTAGGCCAAATATTTATTTCTCCTTTTCGTGTGACTATATATTTTCACTTCCAGAACGTACTCACTTGGGGAGTATATTTTACAGGGCCAAAATGTGTGTTTGGATTATGATTAAATACTTGATTTTCTTCAAAATAATTCATTTAACTTTTGTTATCATCCCTAATTTATTTATTCTAGCTAGATTTCATCTGTTTTTCTGTTTTTTTTTTTTTTTTTTTTTTTTTTTTTTGGCTATCTTAAGATACTGTATCTTAATTTGATGTCTTTATTGTAGTGAACTTTAGTTATCACACATAATATGAGATTCACAGCTCATTAACTGGATAAGTACTCCAATTTATTTATTTATTTTTTAAAATGAGTTCTTTGAACTTTATAGGATTTTTCTTATTTTAGTAAAGTAAATGAAACATTATGGAGTCTCATGTTTTACTAGTAGAATTATATATGGAAAAAAACAGATTATTTTCTATTTCCTACCACTGAGTGAGAAAACATTCGGGGCAAAAAAATACCTGCTACTTGTGTTTCCCACAGGCCCTTTCCAAATTGGTTCCTTTAAACTCTAAAAGTAATTCCAGGAAACCAGTAAAAAGATGCCACAGGCAATTTGGAAGCTTGTAAAATACCCTGGTGCTGCTGATGAGGCAAACTTTTTGCGTTGTTGCTTTTGAATTGCTCTCCTAAACCTGGAAAACCACTGTTGGGTCCTGATTTTCCAAATATATTCATGACCTGAATTATATTGAGACTTTTATATCCTAAGAAATGTTTTAGAATGTGCTGATATCTAATCTTTTCAAAAGTTCATAGTATCTGCTTCTTGGTGTCAGAAAACGATCATTGTTCAGCTATGATTCCAACTAGAAAAAGGCGATTGTGTAGATAATTTGTTAGTTCTAAGACTGTAACATACAGTACACATCATCTTGGGCAGTAATTCTGGAAAGTGATAGGCAATTTGTTACTGTTTTGTAGGTGATCATCCCATCTTAAGTGTTTTTCTGGACAATACTAATTTATTCAACAAATATTCATTATATATCTAGTACATATCTTAGGTGTCTGGCACTGTTCTATGTGAGGGTAGGTATAAGTCTATAAAACACAAAAATCCCTGCTGTCTGCGCAAAGATAAGAAAGTCATAGTTTTTAGGATGTGAAACAAACTGAAATATCTAAGTAGGGTCTGAATTCTTACTTCCTGAAGCTTTAAACAAAATACTAGTAGAATAAATCTCATTTACTGAAATAAGGTAACATTTATGCATTTGGAATACATTTATGAATAAATGCTCTGTCTGTCTATGTCAGCAGGTTTTATATCTCCAGCAAAGTGAAGTTTCAATTTAAATAATTACAGATTATTATTCCATATTAGTTTAAAAATAAAATTAATGTGGAAGAAGAAAACATAAAGAATTTTATCTCTTTAGAGAGTTCTTATCTATATATTTTATCTATTTAAAAGGTAAAATTTGTTTTTAGGAAGGTTTGGGTTCTGTTTTTTTATGATAATTATATATATATTTTCATGCTGGCATACTTTAAAATGAAGAGCTATCAATCTCAAGTTTTAGTTTTGAAGTAACTTGCTATGCAAATTATTTTATAATGTAACCCTGGGAAGCATATTTGAAAGTTACCTTTTCAAATTCAAATAATATGAATACAAAACTATAAATTATTCCAAAAAAGGATAATTTTTATAAAAGGCATTGACCTCAAAGGAAGATAAGAATTATGTGGCAGTGAGGTTTTGCCAATTAATGTTTAGTAAACAGTATAAGCACCTATGTGATCATAGTCCAGAAGGTTTTTCTATTTTACTGATAAGTTCCTAAGTTAGCGATTATAATTTTTCATTCTTACTGGTTAAGGTCATTGAAATACATCTTCTTCCACCATACATAATTTGGGCAACTTTCAGAGATTGCCATGTGAGCAGTGCTCATTTTCTTTTGCAATATAAATGAGTAAATCAGAATGAAACTCAATGGCTAGTCCCATTTAAGAACATAATTTTCAAATTGTGGTATATGGAACTTAAGAATTCCATGCAGTATCTTTAAGCTTTGTTTTAGTAAAGTTTGATTGTATTAGATGGTTCTTCATTTCTTTCTTTGTCATCTATCACCCAGCCTTTTACAATTTTTGAGGGAGGTTATGGGTTATACAAAGACACTTTGCTGGAGATATGAAACCTGCTAATATAGAAGGATAGAGCCTTTATTCGTAAGTGTATTCCAAATGCATAAATGTTACCTTAAAATTAGTTCATATCTAATCCTTAAAATCCAAATTCAGTTTGTGATAGCTAAGCCTAATTTAATGTTATGAAAAACTTGAGATTTAGTTTTGACCTAGCTATATTATTCAATGAGGACATTTTAATTGACTATTTAAATTAATACTAATAATATGCTGTTTTAATAAACTGTACAAAGTATTGTTTGAATTCTAATATCTGATAATAACATATGATCTATTTAAAGAAACTCTATGTAAAAACATCTTTAAATGGTTTCTGGGTATTCTGAGTTTTCCTTTATTGGGCAATGAAAGTATAGATTATATTATTATTTCATGTTTTTTTTTTCTGAAGGTGAAGTAAATCTTTAAGTGAAATAACATGACAGAATATTACCTAACACATGCCATCATTCTTTTTAAAGTTATTTTAGTAATAATGCATCTGTTTCTAACTTTAATTACAATTCATAAAATAATTTAAGCCTCAAATTATTTAACTATTACTATGTGGACATCCGTTCCACTTCATGGTTAAACAAATTTGGAAAATGCTAGATTAAAACAAATTAAGTATTAGGTTAGTATTAGGTTTGAAAAATCTGCAGCATTCTTTTTCTTTTTTTTTGAGACAGAGTCTTGCTCTTCTTGTTGCCCAGGCTGTAGTGCAATTGTGCAATCTCGGTTCGCTGCAACCTCCGCCTCCCGGGTTCAAGCAATTGTCCTGGCTCAGCCTCCCAAGGAGCTGGGATTACAGGTGTGTGCTACCACGCCTGGCTAATTTTTGTATTTTTAGTAGAGACAGGGTTTTGCCATGTTGGTCAGGCTAGTCTTGAACTCCTGACCTCAGGTGAACCGCCCACCTAGGCCTCCCAAATTGCTGGGATTACAGGTGTGAGCCATGGCACCTGGCTTTTTGTTTGTTTGTTTTCTTTTGTTTTGAGATGGAGTTTCGCTCTTATCGCCCAGGCTAGAATGCAATGATGCAACCTCTGCTCACTGCAACCTCCATCTCCCTCTGCCTCCCGGGTTCAAGTGATTCTTCTGCCTCAGCCTCCCTAGTAGCTGGGATTACAGATGTGTGCTATCACATCCACCTAATTTTTGTATTTTTAGTAGAGACAGGGTTTTGCCATGCTGGCCAGGCTGTTCTCAAACCCCTTACCTTAGGTGATCCTCCCACTTCAGCCTTCCAAAGTGCTGGGATTGCAGGCATGAGCCACCTCGCCAGACCCACGGCATTCTTTTTTTTTTGTATAGATGAATAATATCAGAAGCTATTACATTAATATTTTATCACCTAAATCCTCCCTTTATTAATGGTAACCTAAAGTATGGACTTCTGAATATATGGCATTGGTTAATTAAGAAATATATTTACAATGCTTTACCTGTATATCCAATATTATATAATAGATTGCTTTTTCAACTTCAGCATAGTCTTAAGGAAGCATCCATCATGAGTTAGAGTTACAACTGAACCGGTCTGGAATTGTTCAGGCAATCTTATTTATTCCTTTGATACTTTTGGTTCGGTAGTCCTAAGACTTGTTCTCTTGGAAATGCAAATTTTACCTTTTCATTTACTTTACTTATAGATAATTTTAAAGCTATAATTTCAGACTGTACTGAATTTTACCATTCATTTGGAAATATATGTAGAAGACTTCCTAATAGAGTCAGTGCACAGGAAATAAAGTAGTAAAATAAGTGGGGCTGAAGGATATTATTGTTTTGTCTTATTTCTATGGTCTCAAAGATGTAGTCTTCTATTGGGCATGTATCTTAACACTCATGTCAATATATTTTAAATATTTTTTATAAATCTGAAAAAGCATCCTTGTTAAATACACACACACACACACACACACACACACACAAAATTCTGTTTTAATTTCTGAGCTCTTTCATCTGCATCTAAAAATGCAGAAAAATAATGGTGTTCATTTTACCATAGACTTTATTCCCTTTCAAATGGAACTCACTCAGTGCAGCTTCTCTCTTTTATAGTCAGTGATGGTGAACCTTGATGGTGATGGACTAAAAGTGGACTTATGATACATATTTGATTGCATACCATAATAAGTTGTCAGTTGTTCATTCTCTTTTTAAATCCTCTGTGTATTCTACTTAATACTATTTCTGTTTATTCTTTTATTGTCTTATTAATCACCTCTCAATTTCCATTGTTTCCTGTACATTATATTCTTTTGGCCTTTTTATTTTTAAACTTTTTCTTATTACCTCTGGTGAGTGGTATCTTTTGATGTATTTGGGCTACTCTTACTACTGATCTTAATTTATTGAACTTTACTGGACCTGTGCTGTTTATTCTAGAATCATGCATAATGGGTTTCACTGTCATACCTCTAGTAAAAGAGTGGAGTTGATCTGTTTCTTTCTGAGAAACATTCTGGTGTTATAGAGCTTCCAGCTCCATTAAACTTGGGAACTACTGGCAAGAGTTTTACATTTTGGCTTGAAATAACTCCTTTAGTGGTCTGTCATTGGCTGAGAGCTCCATTCAGAAGGGAAAGGAAGTACTGCAACAGTGAGTACATTTTATTTGCCTTAAAAAGCTCATATAGTTTACTAAGAGTAAACATAATGAAGAGGTTCTAGTAAGCAACATAGACCATCATAAGAATATAAAAGTTATTATTTTTTTGTACATAATTATTCTTGCCTCATCCACCCTGCTTGGGGTTTTCTAAGTGTGTTCTGAGAACATTAGTTCTACTTCATGGTTAAACAAATTTGGAAAATGTTAAATTAAAAAAAAAAATTAAGTACATTTTTTGATTACAGGACTTCTTTGAGTCAATAACAAATTAATATGTATTTTAAATCTCTGAGGGAAATATATAATGTATATGTTTCAAAAAGCTATTTTCTCACGGAATTATTTTTTTCCTCTGTATAGAACCTGATATAGAATGTCTGTCTACAGGAAATACTTGGAAACCATTGTAACTCTTTGTTTTATATTTCTAGTTTTCAAATTTCTCATCTGTAACATGGGTAAAGGTTTATCTCTGGAATACATTGTTTTAGAGTTTCCAAATCTCTAATAATATGGAATTTTTATGTTACAAATAGAGATTAAGTATATAAACAGAAACTTCTCCTCGATCATGTTTCAAGACTCTTCTGTGAATAATGAGACAAAATATATGCCTGAAATTTGTCCCTTTTAAGTACTTCCGCCATTAATAATACTATTTTATCGCATTCAAATAAATATTTTATATATAATTATATGCAACTCACTGATCTTTTAATTTTATTTTAACTAATTCTGGAAACTTTTATGTATTAACTTTCAGAAATTCTTATTTATGAAGACTCTCATTATAGCTTTTCTAATATTGCTGTCTTTTCTTTTGTAATTCTTACCTGATAACCTACATGAAGTTTACATGTCCCAGCAGTGAGGTATTTTCATCATTTCTTTACGTTTTGTATTTGTTCTTCCACAATAATTTAAGCCAAAACCTGAAATTTCATTTTCTTTTTTTTTTGTCATTAAGCTGGCGTTGGCTACTAAATAAAAAAAAAGGGTTGGGTTGGGCATAGTTGCTCATGCCTATAGGGAGGCCAAGACAGGAGGATCATTTGAAACCAGCCTGGGCAACATAGCAAGACTGTGACTCTACAGAAATAATAAATAAATAAAATTAAAAATTAGCTAGGTGAGGTGGTACACGCCTGTAGTCCTAGCTACTCAGGAGGCTGAGGTGGGAGACTTGCCTGAGTCCAGGAGTTCAAGTTTGCAGTGAGCTATGATTGTCCCACTGTACTCCAGCCTGTCAACAAAGCAAGATCATATCTCTTAAGAAAAAAAAAAAAGAAAGAAAAAAGTGTCAAAACTAGTAAATTCTATTGGGTATATGTACATTTTTAAATGAAGAAGAGGCCTCCTAAAAGACCACAATTTCTGCTTTATGTCAACATTTATACTGCTTTTTTACTAATAGGCTACTGTGTTGTCTCTCAAGCCTTTGAATAGTGTTTTAATTCATTAAAAGCTTGTTATTCAGAACCTTCTAAAAAACAAATTCTTATTAATACTTACCTGCTTGTGATCTGTTATTTTTACTTTCCTGATATCAGTTGATAAATCAGATTAGGTGTGATACTGTCAGATCAAATTCCAGAGTTCACTTGAGAGATCTTAAAGTGAACTCATGCAAAGGAGCTCTATAAATAATCAGTAGATACATACTATGAGTACCATCTCTTTTAAATCTTAATAGTATCAGAATTTTAAGTTAGTACATGAATTGGGTTGTTAACTAAAACAGTGGAAGGAGATCAGTAATTATTTGTTGAATGATGATGTATTCCTGGTGGTCACCCTTATTACTGAAAAGTCCTTCTTCAGACATCTAGCCTGTATATGACAGTTTAATATGATAGCTTTTCAACAAAATTCTTTATTTTTGTACTAAAGCTACTTTAGAAAAATAGATTGGCCTATATGCTCAAGGGATTAAAAAGATATAAGAGACGTAGAAGAAATGTTTTTTACCCTTCAGAAGCTACCTAATATTGTTAAGGTTGTCATGACACTGAGATGGTACCAGGCTGGGAACCATTGCTGGCATGGGTCTTGATTACAGTTTTACCTGATAACAGCATGTTAAATGAATGAGATAGTTTAGGAAATAATTTGGGAAGCCCAATATTGACCTTTCAAAAACTTCTATTAACCTTAGTTGCCATCTTTTATCATGCCTGATTATGCTCACTTTTCCCAGATTGTGTAATTAGGAAATTAGGGTCAACCCTCTTGGTCATAATTATTAAAGCAAAGATATTAGAAGTCAGTTTAATTTTAGTTCTGTATGATTCAAACTATAAAATTTAAGAACATGTAATTTTTTTAAAGTGTTGGTAACCATTGTTTTGGTACCACTTAATGAATGACTTAGGACCAATGGCACCACTTAATGAATGACTTTGGATAATAGTGACCATCTTATCTTGAAAAGATTTAATAAGGCTGAAAATAATGTGGAGAATGTACACTAGTATATTTTTCTCTTAAAGTGATCAGATAAAATAAATATTATTAGGAAATCCTGAATTTGACCATCAGTACCCAAAAGAATGTTAGATGTGATTAGATTCTTAGAGTATGATATTGAAGTATTAAAGCAATTGGAAAAAGGAGACATATCAAGGGGTTGAGGGTATTGGTACTTACTTTAAATTTTCAATGAATTTTAGGTGAACTGTTTATTCTCTTCCTTTTTGTTCTCCCTGTTTCTCTCTTTTTTCTCCTTTTCTAAGCTCCTCCTCATTCTGTTTCTCTTTTATTTTGTTTTCCATGTGTTTGCCTTTATATTCATCTTGTGGCTGTCATGTGGCTTTTATATATTAGGTCACATATTTTCCAACCCAGTTAGGACTAGTGCTCAAATGAAGTCTGGATAAATAGAGCATCATTTACAGTTTAGAAAGCCTCTAAAAGATTTAGGCACAAATAGATTGACATATCTGGTTGATCTTTTGTATGCTCTGATTATTGTAAATGCTTACTTTGCACTTGCCATACTAGTAGTGGTTCTCATAAATGGAAAGACTTTTAGAGACTGACATGTATTGGAACTTATTACAAAAAGATCTAGAAATAATAAAACATTGGTATATGCCCAGTTCACTTATATTGTATTTTTTGGAAATTAGCAAAGGAAATAAAATTTCTCATTAAATGTGTTTAAAACTCATTAGAAACATAAATGATTAAGATGGAAAATTAAAATATATTAATTCATTTAAGAAAAATTAAAGAACTAGAGACTAGAAAGTGTAAATTTTGTTATAGAAGCTTAATCATAAAAGACTACATTTAAAAATTTTAGGCATAATTTAGGAATCAATATAACATTTACATCTCAAGGTAGTGATGCATACACTTTCCTGTTTCTTGGAAATATTTTAAATGTCCATGAAAAGACTATGTGAATTTCCTATCTATTCTAATGACTGTACTTGCATTAAGGAAAATAATCACTGAGAGAAGATGATTAAGATAGGAATAAAGTGGTCACAGCAGGCTAGATTTAGTGTCTTATTTCTTAGGCAGTTTTCAAAATAATTTTTTAAATAGTATAATTCCAAAGTTATGACAGAAACTGCTAAGCAAAAATTTTTAAGCAAACTGCTTTAAATAATTTTCATTATAAAAATTTTTATATTCTGAAATAAGAATTACTATGCTTTGAGGTTCCAATGAATTTCACGTAAATGGCAAAGTATAACAAAAAAAATCTTACGATATTGTTCACGACTTTTGCCATTCTTGGACCCAAGGCTGAAAAACATTTTCAGACACTGTGCTTTATCCTGAAAGGATCTGGTGAAAAGGGATATCTGAGTTGAATGTCTGCTCTGCTTGGCCTTTGAAAGAAGGGGAGAGGGCAAGGCTGGTCTTGGGCAAATTACTTCCACCTCCCTTTTTGCCCCTGCTTCAGCTCCAGGGGAGCTGGAAATGCACAGGAGGAATCAGAAGACCTGGGTTCGAGTCCCGGCTCTGCCACTTACTACCTATGTGACTTTGGGTAAGTTATCTAATATCTCTGGGTCCCAGTTTCAGTACAGGATTGTTGTAAGAATTAGTTAAATGATCTATGTAAATGTGCTCTATAACCTCCCAAGAGCTATAGAAACATAAATTTTTATTTTCATAGGCTTAGTCTTCTTCTCCCCTATTCTGTAGTCTATTGTCCTCAAATAGATAGGCCTTTTTTAAGCAAGCCAGAATGACTTAACTTATTTTGCTTCTCCCTATCTCCTCTCCATATTGGAACTATTATTTCTATCCTCTGCCTGATTAACAGTTAAGTATTCTAAGAATGTAAACCCAGTTGATTAAATTAATCTTCACTATAGAGAGTGGATTATTATGACCCCTTCTTAACCTTCCTTCTCACCTTCCTTCTTTAATATTCCCAGAATTATGTGCTTAGAAATATCAAAGAATCCCTAATGCATGAAAATTCAGACAATGTTGGGGAGAAAGATTTTGGCAGAGGGAACCTGTTTCTTAGGTCACTGCTCCATTAGTTAGTAAGGTTGACTGGGAAAATGGTTGTATAAATGTGCCTCTAGTCCATTCATTTTCTCTGTAGGAAAGAAAATGGCAATAGTTCAGAGTTGAAAGTTCTTTAGAGGTCTCACTGAAAGCTTAACCTGAGGAGTAATAGTAGAGAGAAGAGATAGGAATTTGGTGGCTGTTTGGTCAGTGCTTTGATTATTATCTGATTTGCCTCAGGTTCTCAGAAATTAAGTCCTAGTCCACCCTCAGCCAATCTAAACTTAAAATGCTATTTTTATTGTGTGCTCAGTTTATAGAGGGTGCTTGCTGCAAGGAAGAAAGATCTTGCCTTTTGGATCACACCTGGATTCTGATCAAGGGATTTTTATCAGAGCATAAGAGCTTGTCCCTCTACTTGTTCCAATCCTTTCCAACAATCTAAGAATGCTTGGTCTGGCTCTGTGTAAATTATAGTAATAATAGGCACTTACATGAGCTGCTTGCCATTAATGCCTAATTGCCATGGAACATAATAACAATTACTCATATCATGATTAGGTTAACATTGTTAAAGATTGTGTTTTTATTATTTTTTTTTTAAGCCTTGAACCATTCACTTATGCTCAATATGGTTTCTTGCTGAAGTAGCAATGTCATCTTTGATAACTAAAAATTAGAGGAAAATATGGTAGAAATCAAATGCAAATTGAAACAGTTAAATACACTTTTAAATTTACCAATTAGTGGAAAAAATGAAATGATAATACCTGTGCTGGCAAGGATGCAGTGATATGGGTACTCTTTTACATTGATGATGGTGCTGAAAATTAGTATGATCCTTTCGGTTTTTTTCCCCAAGACTTAAAAGCGTTTATAACTTTTAAACCAGTAATCCCATAGTTGCTAATGTCTCCTAGGGAAATTATAGAAGAAAAAAGCTAATTGCTGGGGGATTATCATTGTAGGATTATCATGATAGTGAAAAACTAGAAGCTACCTAAACATCCAACAATAAGAAAATGATAAATTGTCACTCATCTGCTAGATGAACTATTATACAGCTGTGATTGAAAAAAAAGATCATTATGAAGGCTGTATGAGAAATATAAATGAATAAAAGCAATTCATAGCTTGAATGAGAAGACACTCAAGGTAGTTGTTTTAGAGTCAAGTCTCTAGATGTGTAGATTTTATAAATGTTCTGTAGTTTTGTATTAC